AATAAAAAAAAACCCCCCCCCTTTTTTTTTCCAAAATTCAAACCCCCGCCCCCCCTTAAAAATTTGGGGGGGGGTTTGGGGGGGGGTTTCCCCCCCAAAGGGGGGGGGGGAAAGGGGGCCCCTTTTTTCCCCCCTTCCCCTTTTGAAACCCTTGCCCCCATTGGGGTTTTGGGCAAAGGTTCTCCCCCGTTCACACCCCCCCGGCAATGCCAGTTGGGGACCATGCCTTTTCCCCCCCCATTGATTTCACCCGGGGTTGGTAGGCGGAAAGGGAATGATCCCCCCCCCCCCCCCCCGGCGGTTCCCTTCCCTACTGAATAGATGAAATCACTCCACAATTGGTTTTCTTGCCCATCAGGTCGGGGGGTTCAGCACGGTAGTGGACGCCGTAGGCGTGGAGCCAGTGGTGCTGAGAGAAGGACTGGGGGCCTCGTCGCTCATCACCGGTTGACGTTGACGCCTGCACCGCGCAAGATCTCTACTGAGGCCACCGGAACCATGTTTTCGATATTCGTGTGTCGTTTAGGCTATTACTCTACTGGCTGCCCTTCCCTCTCAGGACGGATGTACTGTGTCGTACCCCTGGTTTTGAAGGCGTGGTTATGGTGAGAACTCAGACGCGACGAAGGTAGAGTGGCGTTGGACCGGCTATGGTCTTGGCGGGCGGCGTCGTTCGATCATCTTCTGGTATCTCTAAACTCGGTATCGGACCGGCGTTTACGAATTTCTCAAGCAGAGATAATGCAGACCTCGTTGCTTTTCATTGTTAGTCGGCAGCCCCTCGTTTCGCTGTGGGGCGTATCTCATTGTTTTGTGTGACTTTTGTTTCGAGAGCTGTATGCCGAGTGGCGTTTGCAGATCGGAGTCCGTAGTCACTGGTGGCAGGCAGATTGCCTCTTCTGGTCATCTCACAACATGACTGCAACTGGATTCTTGGTGTGAAAGTACATCTCTCCCCCCAAGCATTGGCCAAGTTTCGGGAAAATTGGGAAGTCGTTGTCTCCTGTACGGGGGTAAGGTGTGTTGTTATCATGACCTAAAGCAGATCTGCTGGCCCCGAAGAACCTCAGAGCGTGGCTGTGTTCTCCCCCCAGCTTCGCGAGGGGACTTAAAGTTGTAGCCTGGTAGTGGCTGGGCATATTGATCTGGCGGCAATATTGAACATTGATT